TTATTTTCACATCATAAGGCATGTGTGGATGGTGAAAACTGAGAACAAAATTAGAATTTCATCAGCTGCGTTATGTAATAAGAATTTTAAGAATCACTTAAAAGTAATTGTTCTTCAATATTGACAGCTAATAATACCTCCAATATGACGATGTCTCCCAGAGCATCTTCATCAGGGAATGAGGCTATTCAGGGGAATCCAGAGCTTTCCACGTTATAAAATCCATGATATTAATAACGATGTAAGTAAATGATAACGTAAGTAAATGCTATACAATGCAATATGATGAGTCTATAACGCCAGTAAGTACGATAGATAAATACAAAATTAATTAAAATTGACTTATCCGTTTGCAATAAATAAGTAAACAAACAATTGGGCTTGAATCCAATACTGAAGACAAACTACGAGTGGGCCTCAGCTCATCTCAGTCACAAGTCACGAGTTGTCTTCTCTCCACTCCACTATTAGTTCTGCACGCAACAATCTGGATTAAAATTAGTGACCCGTAGCAAGGCTCGCTGCTCTTTATACTCTCTTAGCATTTCAATATAATATTCTCTAAATAAAAAACCTTATAATTTAATGACAAATAATAATAAAAGAAATCATTTGATAATAATAATAATAATAATAATAATAATAATAATAATAATAATAATAATAATATGCCTATTACTAGTACCTAGTACTTTTATTCTATTTTTTATTTTTTGTCAAATTTTCGACCAATTTTGCCTGTCTTCTTCGTGTCCTGACAAAAGAATTAAATAAATGATGTTGATTCACGGCTCATCGGGATGGGAGGGGGGGGGGAGGGGAGGGGGGGATTAACAACTGAAATTGCCTAATTAATACAATCTTGTTAATCAAATAACGATGCGCGTTTCAGATAGATTCGTTAAGGAAGTGATCTGAATACTCGTTATTGATCGTTTCAAATTGTGTAGGTGTTAAAGCGAGAACGCAATACAAGGATACAAACCTCAGTTTTCCCCAGTTATAAAGTCGATATGACTAGGGATTATAGTTTGCATGAGGTATTATACGTTTTACAGGATCAAAGCTTGATAGAGTTACAAAACAGAAAAAGAGCCTGGTGCGTATCATTGAAGTACTCGGTGCAAAAGTGCTTTTTAAATCAAGAGGAGCCGAAAAATCAATAAAAGTGTCTATGAAATTTGTGCTTTTCCGTCAGCAAAATGAATTTTAGAATGCACCACCACCCACTATCAACACAAGAAGAACATCGAATTTCGTAGAATAGTTTTATTTTCTATTGTAGACCGGCTTACAAAGTTACCTACTAGAGTCATACATATATTTATGCCCATTTCATTTCTGTCTTGGATTGTTGTAAATATTATACAGTTGTAAAATAAAAACGGCACTTTTCTTCCACTTTGTGACTGTTGCATATCTTCTTGTGAACAATGTAAATATATACACGAGGTTCCTTAAATTAAACAAAATTGATTGCTGAAACATAAGTCAACCATACACCGGCATGTACACATACACAGTGGATGTATTTAGTGCCATAAAATTGCATATCTTCTCTGAAATAAATACAGAAAAAAATGTTACTACACTAAAGGGAAGCGAAAGTTGGTGTCACGTTCTCCACTCTATTTCAGTATTCGCGTGTTTAAAGGTACTTCGTGTTGTAATTATGTATAATGAGTAATAATATTACTACATGCCACTTTTGAACTTTTCACCCCTTGAAATCAATAAACCATCTTCTCTGAAATAGTCAAAATGATTATATTAGTTGTCATGACACTAAGACGGCATGTTTATCCTTTTGACAAGATTGCTTTTGATTTCTGCCCGCTCTGAGTGACATAATAAGATATATATTCTTTGAAACAATAAAATGAATACAAATGAATACTAAGACATGACGTGGTAGAATGAGAATGCGGCTCTTTGGTTCGGTATCGCTGCCCGTCTCCAGAGCTTCCTCTGATTTCCATAATGTTGTTTCAATTAGGATTTCTTTTGCTTTTTGATCAGTAACACAACCATGTGAAAAATCGACTTTATGGGTTTTGATGGATTTCTCTTAAAAACTGCCGTGGGCAGTAGAGCAATATCTGTACCATGAGCTCGTGTGAATGATATTCTTTGTAGACCCCTTCCTACTCATACAGCCTGTTATTTTATGGAGTTATCTAATAATTGGGGGCCTGTTTCATAAATTTATTTAAACGCGAAAATTGGTTCAAACATTGAGACCAAAGTTAGAGTTCATTTTGTTCTAAGGTTATTCAGTGCTGTTATAGTCCCATTCACTGATATATTGCGCCAGTTTTATAACAAGAGACGTATGACCGTTTCAGATTAAAACTTACCTAATTCTAGTAATGTTTGGATCTATTTAGTCTGCAGGTCTTTAGAATTCAAAGCAATGAAAAATATCAATAGTACTAAAATGGAGAGAATTAAATTACATAAAAAAGTATATATCTATGATCAATTGGCAAATATCGGGGATTGGAATTTATGGGCAGTCGTTTCAGGTCTATTATTCTGAGTTAACAGCGTATTGGATGGTATAAGTGTTGTCTACCAGCACTTGAAAGGACACTTATTGAGATTCAGAACATAGGTTCCAAATAAACTTTTGGTTTCAATATTTCTCTCAAAGATACGGAAAATCACTATTTTCTTCAAACTCAAAATTATATTCATCTGACATTATGATGGGTTTAGAAGTTCAGTCGACATGGGTTTTGTTCACATGTCGGTACATATTCTCCTGTCCAGTAAAATAAAACAAATGAATAAACAATTATAATTTGCTCTTTAACGGTAGATAAATCTGTTTTATCGACAGAATTTATATAAAATGCAAACTAGCCGTAAATGATAACCAAAATTTACAAGCAAAATTACTACTCAAATGAATATCTCTTTGTTTTCAAGTTACCAATTCTTAGGAATAAGGTTTTGCTTATTTTCAAAAACATTTGGAATGTTAACGTTGAAGAATGGACAAATTTGGAAAAGCAATATCTGAATTTCGCAAAACCACAGGTTTGCACCCAAAGAAAATTGAAAAGGATCTCCCAATTGATCACAAGGTTAATAACAACACGATTCAGTGAATATAATTTGTTTCAACAACGAACATTATTGCCAACAGGTGTCACGACAAACAATAATTTACACAGATTGTACAATTTAAATGAGCCAGCTCGCATCCCGTATCTCTTGTAGTTTTTTAAACCTTTCGTATTAACTAATAATTTTATCAAAGAATGCATTTACAAACCACTAAGCGTGAAAAGGTCAATAAAACGGCCGACGAGATTGTTTGAAAACTCTTTTATTATCGTTTTCTGTACAAAACATGCTATTGAATTAAAGCATAACCATATAATTTTATAATAATGATAAAATAACTACTTAGTAAAACAAGGAATGGGTTGGGGATGCAAACAAGTGCATGGAAAGTAAATGTTCAGGTATAGTCCTTATCACACAGATCACACACGTGTAGGTCGAGGTAGGGTACTAATCTCAATTAAAAACATTAAAAGATTTAGGTAAAGGACCAATCACACACTTATAAATAGGTTGAGGTAGGGGGGTTAAACATTAAGATAACACTCAGATTTAGGTCTTAAGGTACTTATCACAAACAGTTTTTTTACAACAGGGGGTAATCATTCTTCGTGGTTAATTCTGGATTTCTTGCCAACCGTAAAAAAAGTTGCAAATTACGGACTTTCAAGGTACATACTTTTTGGAAACGCGCTTCTGTATGCTTCAGCATTTGTTTGTTCATTTACTTCTGCAGAAAAGAAAGAAAATGAACATCCCCCCCCCCCCCCCCCCCCTGGATAACCCTTTTAAAAACCATGGCACTGTAACTTAACTAGAATTCGAAATGGTCTGGTCAGCCTCGTATACGTCAACGGTGTCAGTGAGTGCCCGACGCTCATGATCTCATGCTCATACACTGAATAGCACAGAAATGAATGGCAAAAGTCAAGAATTCCGTCAGATAATCAATTACTGACTCCGAACACGTATCAATAAAACATACATTTAACAACCCAGTTTCGTTCCATAGCTAACGTGCTTGGCATCACATAAACACCCATGCGTAGGTGTCTTAGGGACCATTCCCAGACCCTATCGTACTAACTTTGGATCGAACTTTCTCCGAGGGGATTCTCGCTTAAGTTTTTTTCTTTTTTTTGGTGGGGGGTGATATAAACGCTATGGTAACGTAATAATAACGTTCTGTGTTTTCTGGGAATCGCTTTCGTTTCAGCCAAAGGAAATTGACCAAAATATCTAGAAGAACACTTAATGCGATTTTCGATACTTTAAAGGGGGTGACATTAAGTCCCCAGAATTCACAACATACCAGACTGGACAATGTACCGCTTCAATGTAGTATCGTGCGTCATTAATTCCCCTTAATCTTAATTCACGACTTTTATTAAATTAAAGCGAAGGCCTGCTGTAGTCATTGGGCTCACCGTACTGACCGCTAGCATTAAAAGTACGTGTTCACAGCACAAATGTGACCAAGCAATCAAAACACTTATCATTTTCGTTCTTATTAAAAAAATACGTGCCAATTTTCCGCATGCGACAGCCTGCCAAGCCAGATTTGGGCTCACAGTACTCCCCTGAATTTCTCTAAAATGACGTTTAAAGCAATGGTATCTGAGGAAAAACAAAATACGTCAAGAATTGAGACAGGTGACCTTAAGCTAGCAATCTACTGGTTAGCTACCACATTTGGAATTCCTGCTGCCCTTGCGCAATCAACCAATTTATCAGTCGATCCATCGATCGATCAATCGATCAAAATGAATCTCTTGCACTTCATTTCATTTCGTTGGAAGTTTCGGGGGATCTCTTTGTAAAACAAAGAGGCTTACTTCTTGATGTTTCTTACACCAGCTCTTATGCGAGTGAGACTAAGTTAGGATGCTCAATCTTAGATATTCTTGTATGTCCTTTTCTTCTTTTTTTCATTTTGATTCACTTGGCTTAGATAAATGTTTTGGCATCTCCTTGTAAAACAAATCGGCTAACTTCCTAATCTGTTCTCTCACGGGTTCCTCTACTGAAGAGACTACATCAGAATGCTTCGTCTTGCATATTCTTTTATGGCCTTTCTTCCAGGCGATCTTTTGACACTTCGGAGTACAGTACCATGCCCTCTTACAGTTCGCGCATCCGAGAAAATACTTGCCCTGTTCGGGCTTGATCCCGCAGTGTGAGCACTCTTCAGGGCCGTCCCCTTCAAACTGACAACGTCTACATTGACACCAAAAATTATACGCCCGGAACAGCCAGGCCCTACGCTCTGCCCTGGGGGTCCTGGTGTCAATGTACGTGGAGAAGAGTTCCTGTCCCGCTGCGATTTTCCGTCGGGCGCGGACACCGATTCCGGGAAAGCCTCCGACATCGCAGTCCAAGATCTCTACGTCGTTGTCGCAGGAGTGGTTTAGACAAGCGTGCAGAGCGAAAAGTCCTCCGAAGACTGCTTCTTTCGGTTCACCAATACTAGCCATATAGGGGACCACGTGCTTGCTGTTGGAGTCCACTTTCATACGGGAGAGGAAGCGTCGATATGGCGTCAGTGGGTCGGAAAAGGATTGGCAGTTGCAGGCGACTTGGTAGTACCGACCCTCAAACTCTCGATTGTCTATCTTATAGTTGATTCCATCGGGGAAATTGTTGAAAACACGATTCATGAGATCCACCATCTTGTGCGCCCATTCAGCGTGTCCCGCTTTGCCGTATGCGATAAAGCGGCGGTAAGGTGCCTTAGCGTGTGCCCACATCTCAACCGTGGGTTCATCCGTGTCTGCGCCATCCTCCCTCGCCTGTTTGACGGCGCGCCGAACGTCGGCAATAACCGCGGCCCAGATCCGAGCGACGGACATTGGACTGAAGGGGGCGCTCCAGTATCCCTCAGTGCACAACTCGCCCTTATCGCAGAAATCGTAGAGCTCCACCGCGGCTTTGTTCTTCTTCGGGCAGAGAACTTGGTGGTGTTGATACCAGGCCGCTTTGAGGCAATCCTCGCTGCAGTATTTCTCGCGTTGACATTTGGGGCATTCAATGATGGAGACCTGCATTGAGAAATGGAAGCTTTAGCAGGAGGCTACAAAATGCAAAATCATATAAAATATATTACATATGGTAAGACTGAAGTAGGACAAAGATAAAAGAGGGTTTTAGATGCATTAATGATCATAAACTTTTTAAAAAAGTATAAAATATCTTGGCCAAAAAATTGAAACCTTGGCATAAACCCTTTTTTCCGTTTTTAAATATTCATTGTACCTCTGACGTGCAGGAAGAAAACAGAAGAATGTCCTGTAAGTTAAAATTGTGACATAGTTTCAGCATACATCGTCTACCAGGTGTTTATTTTCTCACCTGGGGCCAGTATTTGGCCACCACCCTCCTCTCCGCCGGTTTCATACTTCGTAACACGTCGTCGCCGAAATAGTCTATTGCCGTTAGGAGAGAGCGCGCGCACTGGCTGCACGCGGGAGCTTTGAGGGAAATGCTAGTCTGCGCAGAAATGATTGGAACCTCCCGCCATACCATTTGGCCACCACTGAAGTCTTCCTTGGCAAAAATACCACGGCCATATTCTTCAAATTTGACCTGAGGAAACAAATAGAAATAAGTGTATCAACTACATATACCGGTGCAAATATACCACGGCCATAGTCTTGAAATTTGACCTGGAGAAATAATGATATTAGCGTATAAACTAAAAATGCTGGTACACATTTGGTTTGAGGTCACAAGAGCTGGAAAACTACAGCGTCTTTAAGGACGGATTAATATAGATATTTGATTGAACAGGTCACCCGATTATGATTTCTCATCGTAAGACCATTCCAAAACTGTATATGTTTATTTGTCTTGTCTTCATTATTCTGTCTACACGGATATTTATTTTTATTTCATTTTTTATCATCATCATCATCATCATCATCATTATTAATATCATTAAAAAAAACAACAAAAAATTATTTAAGTAATTCACTCAATTAAAAAAACACATCAAAGTACCGCACTCTTCACACCTCTATAGGCAACCCTGTGGTCAGGGGCTCGTACAGCCTTTTGGTTCTGATCTGTTGGAACAATAGAGCCGCCTCACTGTGCTGCCCGTCACTGACTTGTGTCGCCTTCCTTAGCCACGTCTCTGCCAACACAGGCATGTCGAGCGCCTTCAGGATTTTACCTAGGTTTGGATAGAGAACGGTTAGAACGGTATTGTTGTGTAGGCCGCATTCAGAACAGCGGACTTATTGTCCTCGGATCAAATATGGCGACCCACTTAAAAACTTTCCGTCTAATCCCCTAATAGACACTGAATATATTCCCCGCGGGGATTACGCCACGAGCATTCAAGTAAGTCGGCCATATTTGATCAGCGAACTAGATATATTCCGCAGTTGTGAATACCGCCTATAGCGTCAGGCAGGCTGTTCAGTGGAATGATTATACTCATGACAAGACTAACATTTAGTGAAAAAGTCGGATAATATAGAGTGGGGTCCAGGGGGCCGCCTAGGCCAGTGATATGTTTGGCTCCCAAGAAGTCGGAAATCCACCGATATATAGCCGGAAACGTATCAATCCTGCATTCATTGAAAGGGCATTTTATAATAATAATAATTATTATTATAAGAATAATAATAAAATTTGACTAAACTTTTCAACAAAACCTCATATCCTTTGATATTACTTAGGTAGATGACACTCTTTAACACAAATTCTTTTCATATTAATGCCACCATAACAAGGCGGATCCAGGATTATTTGAAGGGGGGGAGGGGAGTCCGCCGATGCGAAGCCGAAACCCCCCCCCCCCATCC